AGATTTTGGCATTTCTGAATAACTCAGTAAACATCATGTGAATTAATAATTTACGAAATGTCTTACCTGGACAGTTTGGATTTGTCCGTAGAGCTTTTTTGTAGAATGCTAAGGCACTCTTGTAGTCTCTTTTGTTAAACGATATACAAGCTTTCCCTGATTTGAGAAATTACAAAACAACTACTGTAGTAAATTACAGTAAATCAGCACCATTAAATCTAAAAAGCAGCCCTGGTTTAAGCTCACAAACTATAAGGTTCCAGAGTCCTTTTTACAATAAACTACCTGTAGATGATCTTAGAGCGTGAAGTCGGGCTAGCTATTATGGAAAATTGAGAAAGACAGGATATTACTTGGTTGTGTGCAGTTATGCGAAGAGCGAAAGATTTTCACCATGATGATAAGATATAATTCGTATCTCCAAGCGAACATGTAATATTCTGACTATCATATAAATTTTCTATAATTTATGAAAGAAAATTTTGGCGTGGAATACCTTTAACTATATACTTTTTTATTAATATAAATTGATTAATGTGCTTGGTACAACAACATCAAAACACTAGAAAAATTGAGCCAGGAGTGATACCCTGTCTTTCTCAATATTCCAAATAATACCTATCCCGACTTCAAAATATGCTAATTCCATGAGATTTAAAATTAAAAAACAACCAAAGTAACGTTTTAGGGTATTTTTGAAATTTTAGATAAATTGAGAAAAAAATAACTTCAAACAAGTATTTTCAGTGTAAATTAATTATCATGTTTGCTACTCACCTTTTTTTCTTCGAAAATGAAAGAAAAACCCGGTTTAAAATTAAGGACTGCACCCTCCCCTCACCGTACCTGGGGTTAGGCTTAGGGCTAGTTTTCGGCAATGCTAAGGGTTTTTGTAACCTAGGACAAGGATTATGGTTCCTGATTTGGGGTTTAGGGTTTGAATACAATGGGAGGGTTAGGTTTTTGGGGTGTTTTTTTTTTCACACACGTGACTGTGTAGAATTCTCCCAGAATTCATTGCGCGCAAAAATCTGGTTAAAACATGTGTTCTGAATCAGTGTCCAAAGAGAAAGCCGTAGCATGAGATCTTTATGGAAAATKTGAAAAATAAAACGCTTAAATGACAAAAGCAGGACTAAAATTGGGTACAAACAGTCATTCGCTTGTTGAAATCTAGAATTATGTAGGAAAAAAAGACAATGAAATAGTGCTTTTTAGTCACTATAGGAACCCTAACCCTTGCATAAGGCTGGAACTAACCCTATGCTAAAGTTTGGGGGGAGGGGAGGGTACAGTCCGTAACTAAATGTCGACTTTTTTCCGCTTTTTAAAAGGAAATCATGAGTGTTTAGTTTATAGTTTCCCGCAATTAGATAATGTTCAAGTTAGGAGTTTGATTGACACTGTAATTCAGAACTTTGTTTGACATTTCAATAGCTTCCTGTATTAGTTGTTTGTACTGCATTTTATAAAGTTACACAGTTCAGAATGGATCTCGAGGTATCAACATGAGTTTTTTATGCTAACTTGTAAGTCGCTAACTAGAATCAAGACAGAGAATTAAATCGGTAGAACCCGCCACAGAAGTAAGTAATACAATATGTAATTTCATTTAAAGATCAACGTTTGTAATTGTTAGATGAATATAAATCAAATGTAATAGTAAATGTATAATGATTGTAACTTCAGTCAAACCGAAATCTAAGTTTGGACTATTCTATATGGTTCGTGGAAAATCTACCATTTAATCAAAGCATCAACGAGAAATAACTAGCAAACATGATTATTTAGACCAGAAAGAAATGATTGAAGCAATTTTTTGTCAATTTTTCGAAAATTTCAAAAATACCCTAAATCAGCACATACGTAGTTTACAAAACCGCGCCTTCATAATACTGGATTGTAAGTCAATCAGTTAATCAGTCATTTTTTCGTCAAAACTGCACAGTTAGCCAGAAAACAAAATCACACAGTTAGCCAAACACTTTTTCGTCTAAGTACAAGTTAAACAACTACTTTTTCATCTAAATCGAACTGTTAGCTAGGCACTTTGCCGTCTAAATTGACCAAAAACCAGACACCTTTCTGTCTAAGTCGGACAGTTGGTCAGACAAGTCATCTTATTAAGTCAGTTAGGTAGACACTTTAACATCTGATGCATTAGGAAACCAGACAATGTCTAAGTCAAAGAGTCAAATTTGCCATCTAAGTCATTCAGGAGGCCATGACAATTATAATGTCTGGTTAACTGATTGACTACATATAATTTATTCATGTTTCCATATAACTGACCTGAAAGGTTATTATTAAACAACACTGTATCATATCTGGTTAATTTAACAATTTTTAATGCAACGTTTAAAGAAAAGAACCGTGTTAATGTATATGTCAAACTGGTCACAGTACGTTTCCCCTAGGCAGTAGTGTGGCTTTATACAAAATACTTGTCTGAGAGATATTTAGGAAAATAATAACAGTCACTGCACATACCTAACAATGCTGGGATATTGTTTCCTGACTGCAAATAGAAAAATAAAAAATAAATAAGTTGCAATAATTGAAATAAATCCATACAATTGTCCAGATGGAATAATGCTGCTGTAATTTTGCAAAGTACTAAGTGATTTTTCCATTCTAAACCCAATTTAGCAGGAGCTTGTTTCTTAACCGGTAAAAGTGGGTTTGGTCCTAACATGTTGACATARCCGCTGTAACTGGTAAGAACCTAGTTAATAGTACTAAAAGGATTTTTCACTTCTAAACCCATTCTACATGTAGCTGGTTATTTCTCACAAGTGGTAACAGTGGGTGTGGTTGATCAACCCATTGTAGCCAGTTGGCAACCTATAATAGTACTAAAGGATTGTTTGATTCTAAACATGTTTAGCATGTTCATTTTTCAAACTGCTACTAACAGTTTGACATTTTTGCCATAGTCTTTCAGTGTTTATTTTTGCATTTTATACTTTGTAATCAGAGGCATCTCTCTTGTTTGTTATGAAAAACTAAACTTCACACCAAACACGAACAGAACGTACTGCCACCATTTCATTTATCTCTTAACCTGCCTKTGTCGTTCTGTTTATCCTTGAGAAGTTCTGGAGTTGACGTTCAGCTACCGTGTGATAATATTAAATCARCTAATATTTCTTGAAGTTGAAGGTACTTCTATTTTTTTAAATAGTTTAAAAGTTTATTTTTTTTATTTTTTTTATTATAGTTTTAAAAGTTTATTTCTTCAAATAATAGTTTTAATTTTTTTGGTTGAGATCTACACTTTTGAGAAGAAATTATTCACAAATCAATACAGCTGTAACTGGAAATCAATATAGCTGTAACTGGAAATCAATACAGTTGTAACTGGAAATCAGATAGAAGTAACTTTAACTTCCAGTTACTACAGCACATGTGATGGAGATGATGAAGGATTGGCTAGAATTTTTGATTATCAGCTGAATGACATATTGACAATCAAGCTTGAAATGCCAAATGATGTGCAAAATCGAAGCTAGGCACTATTACAATTATATCACTTGTCTTACCTGTGCTAAAACAAAATTAAACTGTGCATCTGCTTGTTCCATTTTATCTCCTTCAAGAAGACAAAAGTAAGCTCTTCCCAGTAAATGGTTCTAGAAACAGGTACATAATAAATCAAGACATTTGAAGCTATTCTAATTACACATTATGAATTTCCATAAACATTGATTTTGGATATTCTGATTGAAAGCAATATTTCATACTGAAATACGCACAAAAATGTGCACTAAAAACCATGCTGCAAAATATGTGATTTCTACAACCACTCTTCACTGCCACAAACAATACCAAAAACCAACCTCTAAAATCAGCASCAATTCCCCTTTACAAAGTATTAATACTTTTTTGTTAAATCTGCAAGTATCTGGTAAGTGTTCTATTTATCTTACCTGATCGTACATGATGATTTTGTCAGCAAGTGTGTATAATGATGTAGCCTAAAAAATTAGGAAAAAACAAATTTTTCAGTTTTATGAATATTGATAAATGGGATAGATTATATTATATTCCTACACTGTGAAGGGCTCTGTAGAAATGATCAAATATAACTAGCAGCTTTTGCAATGAATTCTACCTACTATGTACTCAAAGAATTTAAGAAAAATTTAAAAACCAATCAAAATAAAAAAAAATGTTTTCTTGTGTATTGTAAAAAGATAATAATTATATTGTTTTTGCCAACACATTAATGCATGGATA